CTCGAACAATTCTCATTGAAGCGGCCCCACTTCACACTTACATAGGTGATCTCCCATTAAGAGTATTCTGCCATACTCCACTTGAATGAATCAAGCTATAGGAATCATTAAAAGAGTATCTTAACCTTTAATGCATATACGTAAACATCACACATGTGGTTGACTATATCAAAATTATTAATTATCTTCATCATGGTCATCAAGTTGATGCCAATGTTCATCTTATAACTCTTTACAAAGTAGTCAGTCCATTTCATAGCACAATATAGAACCACCCGTCCAAACATCATAAATAAAATTTTACATGTTGAAGTATTAGGATCATTTTTAGAGTTCAAATTAGATGAAACCTTTTCAACCCAAATAAAACATCGATACATAATTTTATTTTATTTTTCATTTCTGAGATGCACTAAGAAATTTACTTAAACCCTGACATTTTCATCAAAATTGGGATAAAGATGACAAGATTACTATGATAAGTGCGTTTTTGCACACTTATTTAATACCTAATTATGTTTACTATTGATAAAAAAAAGGAGCAAATTTCTCCTCACAATTATGTAATTATTGCTTTCGTAAGTAAAAATCACTCAAAGGAAATAGAACATGGCAAAATGAAGGAAAAAAAAAGGACAAATTGTGAATTTGAGGACCAAAATGAACTATGGTAGAAAGTTGGAGGACTCATGACGAAATTTATGAAGGGTGTGATTGATATGAAAGTCAAAATTCGAGGACTAAACTGTACAAGATCAAAGTTTAGGGACCAAATGTGCAATATCTTGGACTTTGGCTACAAAATGAAGCTGTATTTCCACTTTTAAGGCTTGAGGACCATTTTAATTTTTAGTCACAAACCTGGGGATTTAGCTACAATTTTTCTAGGTTTAATTTTAAAACCTGCTTGCAGTGTAAAAAATCATTTTTTTTCTTCAATTCAGTTTATGCCGGTTTCTTCTGCGGGATTTCTTTCTCGTTTTGCTTTCTTTTTCTCTTCTTTTTTTCCTTTGATAATCTTGGTATCTTGAGTCTAGAGCACGATAAGAATATATTCAAGAATTAGGAAAGCTTTGGGGGATCCAAAATCAAGCCATTCTCATCTTCAAGAAATCAATCAAACAAGGGTTTTATCTTTAAATCTTGCATTTTCTTAATTGCTTTAACTTATTTATAATGTATTGGTATACATATTTTCTTTTCTATCATATTTATAACATGGGCTATTTTATTGTGTTAGGATTTATGGTAGAATTTAACATAACCTTAATTAATTTTAATATTTGCTTTTTGATGTGAATTCACTTATTTTTTGTTGGGATTTATGGTAGAATTTAACCTAACCTTAGTTAATTTTAATATTTGCCTTTTGATGTTAATTCACTTATTTTCATGTGTTTCTACCATTGTTATTATTGAATTTTCATTTATATGGCCAATGAATGATTATGTTTAATGATTTGTATGTCGTTCGAGAGAAGATTGTGCATTTTGATCAAATAATAGAAACCCTAAGTTTGTGTAGTGGATAGAGATATACTACTAACTCTAGGTGACTCATTGAGCTATTTTCAAAAATATTTAATGCGATTGTTTGGTTTGAATCGACATAAAGATATAGTAGGGTAAACTAATCAATTATGGTTAATTTCGCTCGAGAGAAGTAATTAGCTAAAATTGGAAAATCAGGTCTAACATCGTAAACGAGTAATTTGTTAGTAGGCTTGTAGAGAAATTAATTAGATGACGGTTAAGCGAAACCATAAATCTCAACCACGTTTTTCTCCAAACTTTCCAAATGTTTACGTTTTCTTATTTTATAAATTTTTAGTTAATTTTCCATATTTTCCAAAATCAAATTTTATTGTGTGTTTGTTCTTATTGTTAAAATAAAATTAACTAAAATTATGTAATCGGAAGTAAATATTCATCGAGGGATCAACAACACGGACTCAAAAGTCCACTTTATTACTTGAACGCGTCCCGTGCATTTGCGGTATATAATTTTAGCGAACAAGTTTTTGACGCCATTGTCGGGGACTATTTTATTTTAATTACCATTTTAGTTGATTATAATTTTCAAGTTTTTTTAGTTTTTATTCTTTTTTTATATATCTTTTATATCTTTAGTATAAAGTTGGCTTCTTAATTTTTATTTCCTAAGGTCTTCGGTAGTGCATGCTTCGTTTGAAAATTTTTGATTTTTTCGAACTTGATCCGGAAATTGAAAGGAATTTCCGAAGAAGGCGACGGGAAAAAAGAGAATTAAAAAGGTAACGATTAATCGAGATGGCCCAACAAGGATAAAATGTAGAACCCAATGCTCAACCAGAAAATATTCTACAATGTGGCATTCCACCGGGTTTTGGTGACCAAGCGGGTAGGGCTCAAGAGCCTGTTGTAAATGAGGAAGATATTCTATTTGGGGACTTCATGAACCCACCTGTGGTAGATAATGAATCTAGTATTGTCTACCCTTCTTATGGACATCCAAACTTTCAACTTCGACCGGATGTCATCAGTTTATTTTCCAATACCATTCCATTTTATGGAAGGACTGATGAAAATCCACACTCTCATGTTGCACGATTTGTGGAGAATGTTGGCAATTTTAAATATGAGGGCGTGAGTGTGGAGGCAATCCGAATGAGATTATTTGTCCATACACTGAAGGATAAGGCAAGGGAGTGG